TCATCTTTCTCCAGACGTTTCTTTAGCAACTTCAATCGGCGCTCAGCGAGTGGTCTGTTTCTCGGCAAGGATGGTGGTGGATTTTTCCATGGTAAGGCAAGTTCGTAGTGACCCCCTTTTAGTTGGATAGTTTCTTCCATAACAGATAACGCTCGCTTGTCGTCGCATGATATCGCAATTTCATCGTCCACATCGTCGAACTCTCGGTCGCAGAAGAGTCTGAAAAGGTTCTCTAGCTCTCCGTCCGCATGAATAAGTTAGCTGTTGATTCTTGTGAATCGACTCGCCCTAGTGGTCCGTTTACAGTTCAACCAAGAGCAGTCTTTACGGCGTACGGACCCTCGTCAACGCTTTCTCGTATTTCTATAGGTTGCAGAGCTTTAGGAATGTCATTACCAATAAGCAAACCGACTTCGGCATCGATTTCTGTCGTCGTGATACCTTGGAGATGAGGCCAACGATCTACGTCGGTTTGACGTGGAATATCTTCTTTTGACACTGGCAGCTTCATAACGGAATAGACTTAAGGGAGATTTAAGCCGCGTTCACACCATCGGCTCATGCCTGACCTGGACCTGGCCTTGACCTGGCCTGGGCCAATTGTGACGCGTTCACACTGGCTTGACGCTCAACTCCAGGCCAAAGCAATCAGGCTCACATTTAACTATGAATGTCAGCGGTTATGTTTGAGCGTCAATAATGGCGGATCCGCGAGTGTTTCTCTGGTTCTGTTTCTTCCTTTTGAAACGGCGCAAAAGAATCGGTCGTCAAAGAAAAAAGAGTACCATTCAGATCAGGAAAATCAATGATCTTCGAGAAATGGTGGGAAGGCAATGGAAAAATACGGTTAATGCAAGTTAACCATCACATTGTTATATGGTTGTCTAACGAACAGAGATGTCTGGAGTTGGTTTAAGCCAAACCATTCATATTGGGTCATCTCAAGTCAGCAGTGGACAGCCAGAATGTGAATCAAACATTTGAGGATGAAGAAGGAAGCCTTTCTCTACCTATGTCGAGATCTGGCACCGTTCCTTGAAAAACAACAAACCCGTTTCAGAGAGACCATACCAGTATCCAAAAGGATATCAATAGCGTTATGGAGGCTTGCCAGCGGACATGATTGCCGTTCACTTGGACAGTTATTTGGGGTTGGTCGTTCAACCTGTTGCAAAATTACTCATCACGTATCTGATGCGTTGGTGTCTGTATTTTTGAAAAGGTTTATCGCAACTGTTTCAAACGAACGAGTCCAAGAAACAAAAGAAGCCTTTAGGATAATGAGTGGCCTTCCTCAGTGTGTTGGCGCAGTTGATGGGTGCCATATTCCAATTTTAGCTCCAAGAGAACACCACTGTGATTATTTCAACAGGAAACACTTCCATTCCATAATTTTACAGGCTGTTGTTGATCACAAACGAAGGTAAGCACTGACAGATTTAAATGTGATATGGGCAGTGGTCACTGTACCTGCATACAGTAAATGTATCAGTTAATTCCAGCTGTGGCTATGACTATCCCCCTCCCCCTGGCCAACCCCCACATTGTTGGAAAGACAATGGCTATGTGCCCCCACCCTGGGCAAAAAACATAGATCTATACCCCCACCCCTGGGCCATAAAATTATTAAATGTTACAACAAATTGCTTGACTTGCATGTTGATATGTTAAATAAATGTCTTTCCCTCCATATCTTCCAATGATAACACATGTTCCACCATAGCTTATAAATATGATGTCTTTCGGGAGAGGTCACTTCACGGCACCCTTGTATATCAGTATCGCCAGGGAAAGAACGTCTGCTTGCAGGCTAGGTCTGCCATGATGACAAACATTCTAAGCATGCTACAAGGTTTCATTTTAAGTCACCACCCCTGGGCCATACGATAGGGTGTCAATAGCTCCATCCCCAGGATTAGAAAAGGGTCTGGGGAGATGGGCACAGCTGGAATTGACTGCATAATGCTGTGCATTTGAGTTTCATAAGTATTCCATTTATTTATTTTGTATTTGTGACAACATGTTGTAATACTGTATTTATTTATTATCTATTTACTTTCAGATTTCAAGACATATATATTGGGTGGCCAAGACGTGTTCATGACGCCCGAGTCTTAGCAAATTCAAGTCTGTACACAAAGGGACAGAATGGAACACTCTTCCCAGACGTGAGTAAATTTTCTTACATGTAATTACTAGAATTGGGGTAAACCGTGAGCAGTCCCTTGGGAGAAAGGAGGGACTGCTGACAACACATCAGAAATATGCATTGCCCACATAACACATAATTTCCATTGGTCGAAATTGATGTATCTGTCAGTCAAATCTGATATGTAGTAATTATGCTAAAAATAATTACCAAGACTGAATGTTGATTTTATAAATAAACATGACATTAATGGTTCCTATTGGAAAAATTTAATTGGATACAAGTAATGTTTATGCAAAGGCGGAGCCAACTTGACAAGAGCGAAAAGTGGGCGTATTTCGTTTCTTGATGTGTTGTCGGCAGTCCCTCCTTTCCCTTCACACGTCCGGGAAGCTAAACCTGTGGACACGAGGGACTGCTCACAGTCTATGCCCCTAGTTCCTATGCCCCTGATTCAGTGCAAAACAAATTCACTAGAACATATACTGTATCTATCTTAAATATTTATGCGTATAAATGTTATTTTGCCTGTGTTAGGATGTACAAATAATAGATGAAGTAGAGGTACCATTATATTTGGTTGGTGACACTGCATACCCACTTCTTCCATGGCTGCTAAAGGTGTATCCAGATGACGGCATGCTTACACAAGCAGAAAAATATTTTAACAGGTGCCTATGCAAAATGAGGTTTGTTGTAGAGCATGCATTTGAAAGACTTAAAGGGTGATGGAGGTGTTTATTGAAGCGGAATGACACAACCATGCAATACATAATTCAGCAGACAGCAGCATGCTGTGTTCTTCACAATCTCTGTGAAATGCAAGAGGAGGAGTTTGAGGAAGACTGGAGAGTCGAACCAGATGTGGATGGACACAATATAAATAATCCTGAGGGCGATGAAGAGGATGCTGAAGATGTGCGTGATGTTTTAAAGGGAATGCTTCAACGTCAAAGGGGACTTTAGATTTTTTTGTCTAACAGATTTAAATCTCCAGAACTATTGCCAAAGTGACCAATCACCCCTGGATTAATATACTGAACAAATTTATCTTGAGTGTAAAATACTTTAATTCATGAGATGTTGTTTTGTGGGTATGCTCCAATTGCCATATTGACTATGAACTTTCATTCAAATGCCCAATTATTTGAGAAATACTGCAAGACATTTGTTGGAGTTTTTATTATGTAATAAAATGCCTTTGCAAATATTATCTTTTAAAACCCTTTGACTATACCAAGGACTGGATGTATATATTCACCTACTCTTGCTAATACCAGACAATTTTAAGGAAGGTTCCTGGCAGGTAAAGGGTAACTCATTCAAACTTCATGGGGAAAATTGAATTTTGGTTCTAGCTTGTGTTCAATAGTGCATATAAAAACATCACAGGTTAACATGTATTTTTTTGAAACTACCATACAATGGAATAAGTTACAATAAAATTATGTTTTGCAGCAACCCGGTCCAAACAAAATTAGCTAATTAACAAAAATTAACAAATAAAACTAAATGTTTTATTTATTGCAATTATTGTCACTTGCATCAATACATGTATGTCAATTAAATTAAATTTATTTCCTGAGCTTTTGCCCTATATGGGACCTAGTCTCATTTGTGCTTCTCCATCTTTGCCACGTTTTTACATATTGTTATTCTTTTGTTAGTTTGTGCTGGTTATGTACAATAATGTGTGGCTGTTTGCATGTGCGCCAAACAAACCTGTTAAATTAAAAATTAAATTTTAAAAAATTAAATTAAATTAAAATTAAATTAATTAAATCTATATGCACTTGGAACGTCATCAAAGCTCAGTAAATGAATTTCATTTAATTGCATAGCATGGTGTATCTGTAACTAACAAAATACAAACATGAAAAAGTACAAACAGGTTATAATGGAAAATTAGTGGAAATGAAAGTTCGGAATGTATTCATTGCTTGAAAGTGATGAGTGGCTTATGTCAGTATATGTGGGCTGATTCTGTTGGATTGTAGATGGGACACTGGTATACTGTTGTGAAATCTGCATACCACCTTGATTGACCATTGTGCTAAAAAGCTGCATCATTCTGAACTCATGCTGCCGTTCATGTTCCCTCTCTTCCTTTTCATGCTGGATGCGTTGTTTCTCCAACTCCAGCCATTGTTGTTGGATTGAGGTAGTCAGTGTGACATTTTCCTCTTGCTGCCCAGTTAGGACCTCCTTAAAACTTTCAACAACAGACTCAAATTTGTTGGGCATATGGCGGGTCATTCGTTTCTTTGGGCACTCTGTAGCAATGTAAATGGGATATATAAAAAGAATTGCTTCATTTTCTGTCTTAAAATTTATTATTCTTTTCAGTGTTTAATACAAACTTGAAAGCAATAATTATTCAAAATCAAATGTAAAAATTTGTTCCATAGTGTACTGTAACATGAAGGAATTTACAACAGATGATTATAATACATGAGCAAATGATAAACAAATGTAATAAATGTACCTTCGGTGACACTTGTTCCAGCTTGGTGTTTACTTCTAGTACCGGTAGTGGAATTTATGCTGTTCAGTGACTGGTCTAACAGAGAATCATCATTAGAATCCTCATCTAAAAGAAAGAGAATAAAGTATTGTATATATATATATATATATATATGACATGCTTGATCATGATGATATATTACATATTCATACCGGCATTTGATTCTTCTTTACTGCCATATGAACGACTGCTGTTCTGATCTTCCTGGTTTGCTGCAAATCAAGAAACACAGTTGGTATAGTTTTAGTTATTCTATGTTGTATGTGATTTATAGAGGAGGAATCATTAGGCATTCCATTTAATATATGCACACCCCACATATAAAAATTCTGGAAGCCCCTTGGATGCAATTTTTAGATGTTCCCCATGGATATATCTCTACCCCCTTTAAGATCTTGTTTTTGCCCCCTTGGATATCACTCAAACACCTAATTTTTGCAATTGTTTTGAAAATCTCTCAAGCAAATAAGCAATCATCTAGGAAAATTTAAAGTAAAATCTCCCTATCAAAACCAAGACCTTCTCAAGACCTTCTCCTATAGAATATCCAGGAGTGTGCCTATATTAAATGGAATGACCCATTGTACTTACGGCTAAATTCGGAACTACTGCTGCTTTCTTTATCTGCATCGGCATTCCCACTGTCCAGCAAAAACGTTGGGCGTGTTTGCGGTCTTGTCCCAAGCATTTCGTCTATTTCATTAAAAAATTTCGGTGGTTTGCTTGCACCAGCACCAGATCTAGCTATCTTGTCTTTATACGTTCTGTACTTCTCCCTCAGATGCTTGATCTTCGACTGGCATTGCTTTGCGTTTCTGTTGAAGCCACCATCCGCCATACCTTTTGCAAGCTTCTCGTACACTATTTTATTGCGGATGCTGTGGTTTTCTAGTTGTTGTTGTATATTCTGATCCCTCCAAATTGTGATCAGAAGCTTTGTCTCGTTGTCTGTCCAAATATTTGCCATTAGAGATATGAATAATTGATGATTATAAACGTCCTTGTGTTCCACTATTAGAAGTATTTAATTTCGCGCTTTGAATGTTTTCCCTCCAATTGTCTTCGAATGACAATCATCTGACCAGTTTTATCGTGGGCGCATATTGCCATGGTAACGGGGCCTCGCCCAGGCCAGGCCCAGGAAAAACCCGTTCACACCAGTAATGATTGAGGCCCAGGGCAGGCCAAGGCCAGGTCCAGGCCAGCTACATTTGCTGGCCTAGATTTCTTGACTTAGGCCAGGCCTAGGCCAGGCTCAGGCCAGGTAAAAGCCGTTCACACCTAGGCCCAGGCCAGGTCCAGGCCAGGCCTGGGCCGCTGGTGTGAACGCGGCTTTACTGTATACTGACCATCCAGATCACTTACTTCGAGACTGACGATTGAACTTCTTAGGTTACTTCTTTCTTTTTTCCATGGTTCTCAAGGAAAGTGTAGTTTGATAACCTTTAGCACCGAACATCTTCAACAAAGATTCCGTGACGAACGACGTATTGGAGCCTCCATCAAGGAACGCATACGTTTCTACTGTTCGATTTGAATCTTTCGCTTTAACTCTCACTGGAAGGACCAGCATGCTTGTCACACTTCGAGTAGCACGCCGCTCTTCATCAACATTCACGTAGCCGTTTTGTACGTTTTTCTCTTCGTTTTTGGGCTTTTGCTCGGTTGCAGTTTTGTCGTTTTCTTGTTGATTGGATTTCGATTTATCATCAGTAGTAACGTTGCGAGTTTTGCGATGTAGGAACGTGGAATGCTTGTACTTGCATCCTTCGATCTTGCAAAAACTTGCCTTCTCGAAGGATCTCGCCACGTGACCAGAGGTAAGACAGTTATCACAGAGCCTCAGAGAACGAACGAGTTTGAACCGCTCTTTGACAGGTTTTATCTTGAAATCCTCGCACCGGGATAGCCAGTGTTCGCCTTTACATGAAGGGCATTTCAACTTGGGACGTGGACTCTGACCGTCATTGCCGTTCGTGAAGAACGACGAACCGTTAGGGAATCTTTCTTTCTTGCCAGCAGGTTTCTCAGATCTCGTCTCTTTAGAAATTTTCCCGAAAATTGGATGATTGCTAGCCCTCGCACGTTTCTCTACAAATACTTCGATATCTTCAACCGTGATCTCGCGCTGTCGAACGTCCGTGATGTCATCAGCGACGTCACGCCATTTTGTCTTAGGCCAAATGGTAGTTTCTCCATGATTCTTTGCAGGCTATCCGGATTTTCTATCTTATTAAGGTAGCCAATTTGCTTGAGAACGTTCTTACAACTTGTAAGTAAAACTGAAAATCTTTGTAAACTCGCACCGTCCTCAGACTTAATTTGCGGGTAACTATTTATGCGCTCAACGTATGCGGTAGCGATCTGGTAACTTCGGCCGTATCTCAATTTAAGAAGCCTGCGCGCTTCTTGATATCCTTCCCGAGGATTTATGGATAGAGAACTACGCATTAACTCTTGAACGTCGCCTGAGGTGTATTGTATGAGATAGAATAGTCGTGCACTGTCATTACCGGTTTTCTGTTCGATTAGTTGTTCAAAAGCTTGAATAAAAGTGTGGAAATCAATAGGGTTTCCAGAAAAGGTGGGCACTGTTGGTGTTGGTAGTGTTAATGCTAATGTATGCTGTTGTTGCTGGGCTAATAATTAAGCCATTTGCATGTTCGATATTTGTTTGTATACCGGGGGGTCGATTGCTGGGCATCTGCCTGAATTTCAGCGTTTCCCATCGTGCATGGTAGTTCAGGTTCAACTTCAATGTGTTCATTGACATTGACATTATTCACTTGACATGTAGGTACGTTTATAACATTGTTCATACTCCACGCACCTGCGTGTGGGTTAAGCTTAATTGGTGTTGATAGGACTTGTTGATTGCTTGATAATTGTTTTGGCACATCAAGATTATGTCTAGAATGTTCTTCACTTGGGGGTATGGAATTTGAAACTAATTGTGAGTTGATCGGAATCGCGCGCTATGACTCATAATTTTTATCGCACTTTTCATTATTAGCATTTTCTGTCGCACCGATTTCGCTATAAGTGCGTTCTTCGGCTGCAGCTTGCGCGATTTTAGTCTCAAGCTCAAGTTCTTCCTTTTGTTGCTTAATTAAGAAGGAACTCTTGTTTTTGAATTTCTTGGCGTCTATGAAGTCTTAGCGCTTCTTCTTTTAAAACAGCTTTTCTTACTGCAGCAGCGATTTTTGCGCTAACAACTGATCCTTTACTGGAACGCGAACTTAACAAACTGACTTCAGAGCGGATACTTTTAGATTTGCGTGAGGTTTTTGAAACATAGTCCGTGCCAACATTGCTCACGGAGTCGCTTGGTTTAATTTCGTTTAAGAGGTCGTTTCCGTTTTTGAACATTGTCAAGGAGCCAAGCTGTAATCTTATCTTCAAACGCAGATGTTCTACGTACTTCGGCTTCGTAATAAGCTATAGATTCTGCTAAATCATCTTCGTCGGTTAATTTTGAATGGTAGTTTTTGTGCGCCAAAAAGAATTTTCTTGAGGCCTCTTCAAATTCGCAGTATGCGCTCTGAACTTGTTGAACATTACTAATATCTTTAATTAATTCGGTAATTTCATTCATTTTGCGAGTGAGAGCACATTTGGTAGTTTTCCTCGCTGTTTTCAGCTGAATTAATTCTCGCTTTATAGCATAGTTTTGGTCGGTCTCACTTGCCCCGGGTTCGTGATCTGTTATTTCTCGCCTTAGCGGGTCAGGTTGGTCGATTACTTGTGATACCAAACAGTCTCTTTGTTATTATCGCGTGACTAATTTACGTTTTGACCAGAGATGAATAAACTTTGGCTAGACTTCTCGCAGAGAGTTTTCAATACATTGTAGGCATCTTCGAAATTATGTAAGCTCTAACACCATTGACATGCATAGTGAAACCAAGATGGTATAAAGCTCACGGGTGAGCACAATTTGAGACCGATATTGAGGTAACGTTAGGAAAACAGTTCAAACGCACGTAGAAAAGGGTCGTTCAGATTACCAATTTGCCAACGGCAACGAAATAAATAGATCACAAAC